AAGGAGACAGAGAAAGACAAAGAGAGGATGTACACAGGGAATATCTTACATCTCAAGAATCTTCCATTCAAATAGCAATAACTCATAAAATAAATATATGACTTCTCCAATAATTTGATGCGACAAGACAATAATATAACTTTACATAATGCTTATAAAATAGAAATAGTAATAACTAACATGAAATTAAAAGAACTATACAAGTGCTACACAAAAAGAGAAATTAAGAGGAATATAGTTCTTACTTTAGGTTTTAGCATTTTGTGTAATGTGAAGTTCTGACTTGAAGTTACTGTGAAGTGTGAATTGAAGGCTAAAGGGTAAATGCATTAACCGGTAAGGTATTGAGATTAATATTTAATATTTATGTAGAAGTATAATAGTAAATTATTATAGTCTTAATGAGTAATTAGGTTTAAAATTAAATGATACTATAATAGATACCCAATCAAACAATACAACAAAACATATGAAAACACTCATATTAAATGTTTAAGATCAAACAATACGACAACAAAGTTTTACATTATTGACTTCTTGGTGAAGAATTAAAATGCTTCTTCACGAACATATTTGCGAAAGAAATATTTTAATAATAGTATATTTTAAGGTGTATTTTAAAAGTAAAAAAAAGAATCGAAAATTAACCGAATCTTACCGATACCGAAGAAAAACCGATATGACTAAATGGTTTTAAAAAATCTAATTTTGGTTATACATTATAAAATACCCGAAAAAATGAGATAGGATAATTTTTTTAAAAATAACCAACCAAACCATCCCATTAACATCCCTATTTAACACAATATGGCAGATAATTTTATGTTTTCTCATATTTCATCCACTTCAAATTTCCTTGGTGAATTGAAAAATTCGGTTCTTTCCCAACTTAACAGTTCTACAAAAGAAGTTATTATTTCATAATTTAGTGGTACAAGTATCGTGTTAATTAGCCTCTTGGTAGATATGACTTTCAGTTTTCTTCTATCGTAGTTTTCAGATTGTTATATTTTACTTTTATCATATTCCTTCATGTTATTATTAATTTGCTACAAATAGTTGTCCTATATTATTATGCTCATATATAAAGTAGTTTGTTTTTCTTTAATCTTATTTGTTTGGAGTGTTTGTGTATCATTATAATTTTTGATATCAATGACAAAATTTTACAGTACACTTTTTATCTTAAAAATATTATTTTATTTTTAAAAATTTTACACTTAATAATATAACATATACACAATAATTTATTTTTAAATATACATTTATTATTAATTAATACAATACGCATATACAAAATACAAATAAAGTTAATTATAACAAGTAAATTATAAAATTTTACCAATAATATCAAAATTAGTACTACATATATTATTTTCTTTGATACAATCTGTCAAACAATATCTCATAATGATATATTTTTGTACCTGTGGAGGACTTTTTTTCCTTTAAAATTGAGAGTCTCAATGACCAGCGGACCCCGACCACTATATTACTACTCTGTCCCCTACCATTATATGAGCACCCAAAAAGTGGACGATAAGGACTTAACATCAATGTGCATTCTATTAAATACTAAAGGATCGTTTGGAGTATTATTTATATATTAAAAAAAATCAATATAATAATTAATATAATTATGTTTAGTAATAATTGAGAAATTTTTGCTTCAAAATAACTTAATTAGCCTCCATAACTATAGTTTGTTAGTTACAATTCATAGCTACATGTTAGAGGGAGAAGATAGACGAACGAGATTAAGAGAGGGAGGAGAGAGGCGAGTGAGAGAGGGCAGAGAGTGGAGAGAGGTATATTGTATTCATATATCGGTTAGATGATTGTATATATGTAACTAGTATATATGTATATGTATCAATAATTGTATTTGTATATCTGCATACAATTTGTATCATATAGTATACAATTGAATCGAGTTCAAACATTTGTATATCCAGTCTCTCTCGCTTTATACAAACATAAATTATCCATTTGTATTTGTAAAATTTGTGTTTGTATAAAGAGAGAGAGACGTGCAGAAGATAATTGGGCAGGGATAGATTTGTATTTGTATAATTATGAGTGTTTAAGGCGAAGAGATATATATGCATTGTATTTGTATATCCAGTCTCTCCTCGCTTTATACAAACACAAACACAAACACAAATACAAATTATACATTTGTATTTGTATAATTTGTGTTTGTATAAAGTGAGAGAGAGACTGACAGAATAGAATCGAGAGAGAGGCGAAGGATAGATGACTGAAAAAGAGCAGAGAAGCGAGCGAGATTTCAGAGAGAGGCGAGAGAGAGAAATGTAATTATAGCTAGAAGTAAGTTCCGACTTGTAATTAATGCAAACTGTAGTTATGTTAGTTAACTAACTAATATATGTTTGCTTAACCACGTAATTTCTCCATAATTTAATTGCTATATATAAATTTTAGTGTACTATATGTTGCTTAATTGGTTATCTATCTATAATTCCACATAACTAATACTGAAGAAATTTATGTATTAATTATTTTATATAGGATAAAAGATGGAATAATTAAACATTGCATAACTTATACTTTCATTACTAATACGTGCACGACTATAATCCTTACATTACCAAATACCTACATGGCTCTAACCAACATTCAAGTGACCCCTAATAGTTACATGGAACACTAAAATTATCCATGTTTTAAAATTTGCATAAACTTTAATTATATATTGTTTGGTTGCGAAAATTGGGAAAAAATTAATCTCTATATAGAATCTAGCATAAGTTATACAATGTTCTATTATTTTTTTCTTTTTTTCCACTTAAAACATAACATTGTGTTTGATTTATGTTTTTCTTTTCTACATAACTAATATATATATAAGTTATGAAAGAATCACGATCTATGTATATTATTTTATACATGATAGAAGATGAAATAACTAATACATAGCATAACCAATATTTTCATTACTAATATTTACATAACTAATCTCTTCATTATTAATACCTGCATAACTATAATCACCGACCAAATTGACCTCTAAATATTGAGGTGTAACCAGGGCCGACTTAACAAGATTGGGGGGCTTGAAGCGAAATTTAAGGGAGGGCCCCTAATATTTTACTTTTTCATCATATATACTTTTATTTAAAATCTATTTTTCTAGCCTTTTTAAATGCGAAATCATTAGTTATTGTTTTATAATCAATTTGTTTTAATAATTCCTTTTCACTTGATAATATAGCTAATCCATTCAATCTCTCTTGATACATCGTTGATCTTAAATAAGATTTAATCAATTTTAGTTTTGAAAAACTTCTTTCGGCTGAGGCAACGGTTAGAGAAACTGTTAACATTATTCTATAAGCAATAGGTGTATTTGAAAAAGAATCAAGTCTTTTATTTGATTGTATATTTTCGTTAGATCATTATCTTCTACATGTATTATTTCTCTTAACACCTTCAATTCAAAAAATAAATCTAAACTATCAATAATAGAATAACTATTATGTGTTAAAGTTCAAGGTTAAGACAATGTTTTTAAAATTCTCATCATCTAGTGATATCAATTTACCACTAAATAAGAAACAAAAAAATATTTTCATATGATTCAATTGGTTCAAATCTATTTTGAACTGAAAAAAATAGATTCAATATTTTGTGATTTCGTATCAAAAATATAAAGTAATCAACTTTAGATTCAAGGGACTTTGTGATTTCGTTATTAATAATTTCATCAAATTATTTCTTACGAAATTCGGGTTCTATATTCATTTCATATGCAATTTCCTTAGTAGAAATCATAGCACACACAGTACATATAATTTTTTTTTAAAAAATAACATTCATAAGTAATTTTTTTTAAAAATAATGGGGCCCTCCAAAAAATGAGACTCCAAACGATTGCTTTAGTGACCTAGGGGTTAAGACGGCCCTGGGTGTAACAAGTAAGTCCAGCAACATTTGTGTGTATGGATTTTGGTGTAGGGAATGTCTTATTTGCTCAGCTGTCATGATCTGTAATGAGGTGATGTCTCATTCTACCAACAAAAAAATAATAAGAGAGACTCTTCTTCTTTCCAGGTCATACAAAGAAAAAGAAACCAAAAAGGCTCATAGTGTGGAACTGTGGATACAAGGAAAACACTTAAATTTGATATATGGATTTTCTCACCTTTTCTTTTGATTCCTTTCAATTATTATGTCTCTCCAGTAAAAGTTACTACTCTTTCTTTTTCACTGTTCCTAACCTAGTAAAGACAAAAACTTTTTTACTATCACTTACATCTCCTCTTTTGATCCTAAGTCTTTCGAAAACAATCTCTGCCTATAAAGGCAGGAGGGATAAGGTTTATGTATAGTGGTAATGACAAAATTTCGTTAAAAGTGTTAATGATTTAATATATATATATATATATATATATATATATATATGAAAAATAATTTTTGACCTATATACTCTCTTCGTCCACTTTTAATTGTCGTGGTTTTCTTTTTTAGAGTTAAACGATAAGTACTTTGTCTAACATTTTACTATGTATTTTTTCCTTATCATATTGATATGAATGCAATTTATAGTACTTTTCGTATAATTTTTGAATATCTAAATTTTTTGTTTAAAATATCGAATTAATGTAATCTAATTTAACTTTAAAAATTAGTCAAAATTGACTTTCGAAAAGCGTAACATGACAATTAAAAAAATGGACGGAGGGAGTACTTCATATAATTTTTCGACGAAGGGTGGTCAAGTGTCCGACTAGCTACCCTAAGCTATATGTGGCTACCCCACAGTATATCCTAGCCTTCCTAAATACTACTTGTGAGATTACATTGAATATATTGTTTGTTATTGTAGTTATAACTACTCATTACACTGGATATATATTGTTGTTGTAGTTACAATTACTCATTACACCGAATATGTTATTTGTTATAGTTCTAGCTACTCATTACACTGAATATATTGTTGTTGTCGGAGTTAAAAAGCTACTGAGATTGGATGACAACCTCTCTCCATTATGAAAGGTACCCCAAGACTTTACAAAAACACATTTTATTAGTTATTTCATGTGAAAATTTGAGGTTTGTAACATCCCCCTTATATCAAGATTTTATCTTATTAAGATAATTTTATTCTTTGTGTGTGGAAATTGTTAAGACATACACCTTTAATGCCAACTATCTTTCTACACAGAGGAATCAAAAAGTACTTGTACAACTGATAAGGTATGTAATCTTAACTGAATTGGTGTAAAGAGAGACAGGATCTGAAGAAAGCTACTCATATTAATTCCTTTTTCTTTAGTTTTACTGAGCAGGCAAAAGAGGGGCTCTTAAACTATGGTAGAGCTACTTTCTTGAATGACATATGTTTGTGTGAATGCATGGACAAGAAAGTGGGGTACTATGAAACTTTAGCCCAATGAGTTGTCTTATGGAAGGAAATTGGCTGCATTGCTTCCTTACCATTTCTCAAATGGATTCTTGAAAATCAACATTTCTCAGTAATTATTTTTTTGAAGTAGTACATAATAAAAGTGTACAATCAAGAGGACCACCATTTCTTGATCTGAACTTTAGTACTGATGGAGTGAGTTCATCAAGTTGCTACCTTTATTCATTCATGAAGAAGGACATGAGACTTTTTCAACAGTAATTTGAACCACAAACTGTCAATGTTCAAATTGGATGATTTTCTTGAATGGCAAGTTCATTTGCAGCTATAGCAGGAGGAATTGGAGGGGTTGTAGTAGTGTTCTTGGGAGTGATTTTCTTTGTATGTTTTCGGAGTTTTCGCGGAAGGAAGTATTCAAATAGGAATTCAGACTCAGCTTCTTCAGATCCATCTGCAGTAGGTAATGTAGCAATCATCACTATCTAGGTATGGAAATTTACGCGATGCTAACTCTAAGTGTTTCAGTGGAGCTGAAAAGGGGAGGATCTTTTGGTCCATCAAGGCTGTTCAGAATGGAAGAATTGGAGAAATCTACAAAGCATTTTGATGAGAACAGTCTCATTGGCTGTGGGAGTTTTGGTCTGGTTTTCAAAGGATTGCTTTGTGATGGAACTGTTGTTGCTATAAAAAGGCGTTTAGGGACTCCAAAACAGGAATTTACTGAAGAGGTATGTTTAGCTATTTAAAGGGGGGTTGATTGTTTAATTGAATTACAAGAAAAGGGCAAGACAACAAGGAGTGGATTAGTCCTACTCATGTTTTCACTTCATTCATTCCCTTCTTAAGGAATCGATACAATTTTTCCTACTTCATATTCCTGTTTTAGAAGTGGAAACCATCTAATTCAATTTTATGTCTGATCACTACACATATGATTCTAAAGCTAGCTATTCTCTAACTTTGCATTTCGAATAATAGGTTGCTCGTTTATCAAGGATTCAGCACCGCAATTTGGTCAGTCTTTTAGGCTACTGTCAAGACAGTGGATACTCCATGCTGGTTTTCGAGTATTTGCCTAATGGAAGCATGCACAATCACTTGTATGGTAGGGCTCTATTGAGTAGACATTACCCGCGATTATATGCCAAAGCTGAATATTGGTTCTTTTGTCAGACACAGGAAAGGAATTTGCAACAAAGCTAGAATTCAAGCAAAGGTTATCTATTGCTATTGGAGCAGCTAAAGGTATATCATAAAGACTCGTTCGAGTTTAAGTGTCCTGATTTATCCAAGAATGACACTAAATTTGATCTTAAATGTAACAGGTTTAAGTCATTTACATAGCCAACACCCTTCAATAATCCATGGGAACTTTAAAACAGCTAATGTTCTGGTTGATGAGGACTTCATTGCCAAAGTTGCAGACGCGGGGATTCTAAAGCTACTCGAGAAAATTGATGATGCAGGTCCTTCTGGCTTGAGTTCTTTCAATGCTTTTAAAGATCCAGAGTAAATAGCACTTTACCTCATTTGAAGTTGTAGAAACTTGACTTTGAATTACTTTTTGATTCGTTTTCTGTTCCGTGTTCAGGATAAGCCAAATTGGAATTCACTGTGAGACAAGTGATGTTTACAGTTTTGGAGTATTCCTGTTAGAGCTTGTAACTGGTAGGGATGCTTCACATATAGATGAATTTGGATCAAACCAAAGTGTACTTGATTGGGTAAGTTAAAAGAACCAAAATTCAATATCTCCATCTGCATCATTCATCATGTTTATTACTGAATATGTTTATGTAAACTTGGCAAAAAGGTTGAAAAACAGCTGAGTTCAGAGCAGTTAGTGGATCATAGGCTGCTGGGAAGCTTCACTGCTGAGGTGATGAGGGATTTCGTCAAGATAGCGTTGAGATGCATGAGTTTCCCTGGTAGATATAGACCAACCATGGAAACGGTCGTGTTGGATCTTGAAAAGATTCTTGAGAGGGAGATGATGCACACAACTGTTATGGGAGAAGGTACTTCCACTGTTACTCTAGGGAGTCAATTATTTACAAACTGAAGCAACGACGGAGTCATCAATTACACCTAGTCTGTTTTCATGAATGAATTCGGCCTTTGGGCTACAAGTAAATGTACATCAGCTTAAATAGTTTTTCCCTCCCCAACTTCTTCTGCTTCATCTAACAAAGCTAGATGAGCGGAGGGCCGGGGCCTGAATTATTAATCGCAACATTTTTTCGTTTAAAGTCCAATACCCCTAATAGGTGTTTAAGGACATTATTGTTTGATTCATGAATATTATTCATCATGTTTGATAGAGTTGATGTGATATGGTGAAAGAAATGATCCATTTTAGATTGTGGTTGTGGCCTTGATGATTATATTTTAACTAGAAAAAGACTCATGTTCAATAAAGTTAAATGAAGTTCATGATATTAGTACTCTTGAAATTCCAGTAGTTTATTCTCATTGGATTTAATCTCAAGATGAATATCGATATCCCGGTGCAGATCATGAATTAGAAGATCTAACAGCACATTCAGAGCATGAACATGATCACATTTGAAAGTATGGACTCTGAAATAGAGTCCAGTAAGATACCTCCAAGGACTTAGAAGGCGAAAATCGTTCAATAAGATAAATGGTCATAAGAGATTTCTCAACCTTCAGTATCCAACATGTTTCTGTCATTGATGTAGTCGTACTGGATATCGTAAAACTGCTATCCTGCAATGTAGTTAACCATTCAATCAACTTAGCCTAATACCCTTGCCAAAACGAGCACGTAAAGTAGAAAAAAAGGCGTAAATCATGCTATAACCATAAGGATAACTCGTTAATTACCATAGTTAAGCTAATTCATAGTTTTGATGAGTTTAAGTTATATAGACTAAAAGTATTCGTAATAAAAAGTCAAAATTTTCACTTAAATAGTATGCAAGTAACTTTTTGCAACACTTTCTTGGTAAATTTGAGGCTCCTTATCCCACAGGCACATACATACATAACCCGAGAATCATACCAACTATTACCTACCTCGAATCAAGCCTCTGATATGTAGAAACAACAAAATAGTAAACAAATTAAGAACAAAGACAGACAGAATCCTCTGGAAAGAAAGAACTTTTTATCTTCTTCAACATCGTCCAGAGCTTCGATGGCCTTGTCGGTGGTCAGAGAAATCGAAGAATGGTCGTGTAATATACACTTGAATGTTTAAGTTTTAACCTCTCACAAACGCCATGAATTCGACACCAATGAAGACTTGTTCAGCTTCAACCTGCTCCGACTAACACCAGCTCAAATGTTGGCCAAAATCCTATTAAAAACTATTCAATACACAAAATATATTTGAAACAAGACCTAAACATTATATGATATTATTGAAGAACTATTGTATACGAACAGAAAGAGTAGATTGCATGAATATCTAAAATATTATGATAAAAAATGGTTCTCGATGTTGTAAAGCAAATATGGATGCCATGTGGCCCCCAACAATTTGAGGACTTACATCACTTGTAATAGTGTAAAGCCAAGGCTCATGCCTTGTGGGACTAACCCATTGGAGGGCCACCATCACTTGACCAATTAAAATGGCCAAGTTATACATTTGCAAGTCATCTTTTGGCTATAAATAGCCATTACATTTACAAAGGAATATATACGTATTGAAATACATTACTCTCTCAATTGTCCTTCTTTCAGTATATTAATTTTAGTTAGTTATTTTATAACACGTTATCAGCACGAGTCTCTGCCAGTTCAAGTAAAGACTTTAAAAGCCTCGAAGGTATAAATTTTTCTTTCTTAAATAATGTCAAATCTTTCTAAACTTGAATTTCTTGCTTTAGACATATCGGGAAAAGGCTAT